ACTTGGATTGATTGGATGCTTTATTGAGGCTTTTATGCTTACAAAGATCTGAGCTTGAAGGAAATCGTGATTTCGTTGGAATGTGATTGTTAGAAGGTGTTGAAAAAACCTTGCAACTTTTTTTATCTGTAGTAGTGAACCAGTAATCTCAAAGATGCGAATTTGCAGACGCTCTCGCTTCGGGACCCGCTCAGTTTCCCGCTATCTGATGATTTTTGAACGCACCTTACGGTTCCTTTTATATTAGCTTGCTATATGGTGATGTTCGTGTCTTTGCCAGTGACGTCTTTGCATTTATGCATTTGTTTACTGCAAAAACTCACTTCATAAGCTTCATTGACCAGATTCGAGGGCAATTCTAATGAAATCCTTACGACGTTCTCAAAAGTTATTCGCTTCTTCTCCCCTCCCTTTGTCAAAAAGAACTTTCGGCTGTTGAGATGAATACATCGCCTATCTCACGAGGTCTAGTTTAAGCGACGGGAGTTGACGACTGAGTAGGATAAGTGACTTTTTTTGTTGCTGAAGGTACAGTTTATGCTTATGTGGCCACATTCGCGCGGCGTGTCCTCCGCAAAATGAAATTTTCTGTAATCTACCCAAACAATTTTTGAAGCAAATGCGCAAATGCTTGCCGCTTGCTCCTTCGTTGTTATGGAGTACCTCTTAAATAATGTTGCTATTAAATTACGATCAACGTTCTCTGGAATTTTCTTTTTTGGATTTTTTGATTCATTTTACTCTCGCTAAATATGCAGCAAACATCTTTTATCAGCAATATCTCTATTCTTAAGCTTATGCAAAACCGTTGGAATCTTGTCTTGCTGAAGACATTGCGTATCAACCAATCGGAATTATCTGTTTTCTTATTTGCCTAGTCACCATTCATCCACGACGGCATCTAATCAAACAAAAGAAAATCTTTCCATCTGCCTTGCGCGCATCGCGCAAAGGGAATAACAATCAGGATAGGTTGTGCTAATATTGGCTGCACAACAATAATTTACATTTGTTGAAATTACAATTAATTGCAGTGCTCAAATGAATTCCTCACATATACCCTAAAAAGAAACATATCGCGTTACCACGTCAGTGGAGAGGAAATTCAACATTCTGGATTTCTAGGGAATGACCTTCGTTTTCACCTCATTTTCTTTATGAGGGGTGGGGATGTTCATTCATATTTTGGTCCCGCCGTTACTCCTGCATAAGGTCACATGGATTGGCATAATGATCGAAATGTAGTCATTTGACCTCGAAGTCTGTCATTGAGTGCTTGGAAATCACCACTCTAAAATGTCATATTCAGCAATTTTCGCTTCCTATCTTTGATTATGAATGTCTCCCGATTTTGCGTGATTTTTTCACTTGGCACAATCTTGCCGCGGATTTCGAAAGAAAAGCGAAGGGTATGCATTTGGCGATTGGATCAATTCCACATATTTCGGCCGATTGCCATGTGTCGAATAATGCCCGCGTCGTACTTATGACAAGGTCAGCTGTGAGTGGATAGCGCGTCCAATTGCAAAATATATGGAGCATATCCTTGCTTCGACGCTTTGTGTTCTGTAGCTAGGAATTTTGAAGTTTCGGCAGAGGTTTGTCAATGGAAGGTATGAGTTTTTGCACTGATATCGTTTTTTTGCATGCTCTTATTCGGTGACGTATCGGTGGTTAATTTTTTTGTTTTTTCTGTTCGTTTTTCGACTGCTATGGTTAGATATAATTTCAACTTTTTGATCACGTTTTCAAATGAAAGTCGCTCCTCTTTTGATACAATTTCATGCTTCCCATTACGTTATCATGGCCCCGGTCAGACTTTGCTCAAAAGCTCCAAAAGCGTTCAAAAACGCCCAAAAGCGCCCAGATTTTTCTAATGTCTCTTAACTTTCTCATATGAGGAGAGATAGAGGGGCTGAAGAGAGGTTAGAGAAATTTGGGCGCCTTTGAGCGCTTCTGGGTGATTTGGGTGCTTTTGAAGCCTGGCCGGGACCTATGAGTTTCTGATTCTCCTTCATCCCTGATATGAACCAAAACTTTCATCTATAATGCATTTTTGGTCATAAATCTATTTTGATATCTGGAAAAAACGTTCTATGTGATCATGTGGACATTTTCTTGAACACCTCTGTCGTTGTTCGAAATGCAATCCATTGAGGTTTTTCGCAGCGTAACTTCGCTTGCAGATCTAAGTTTTTTTTTGAAAATACGTCTCAACATTTTTTTCATTTTTGAGGATGGATATCTGTTTATGGCTCATGTGATGTTTTAGTTCGTTATGAGTAGAGGTAGTTGAGGTTTCTTATGTTCTAATTCTTTTTGATTGAGATATTCCTTAGAAATAAAGCCGTATTTCTACATTCTTGGGGGATAAAAGAGGCGACAGAATACGAATTTTCAATTTTCGCCCTAGGCAGGCTTTCGAACTCATAAGCTTCGTTAATGCTGAAGCTGCCCTTCCATCCTTCCCGGAAAACCCCATCTATCCCGAAGGATTTATGCGTCAGTAGGGAGCTTTGTTCACGAACCGCACGCCTGTTCATTTGCCAAAAAGCAATCGTCACAATGGCCGTTTGCCGTTGCGTTCGGCGCTTTTGATCGAATTTACATGTGTTTCCGTGCATCCATCCGTTCCAAGCCCTTTTCGTACCATTTCCCCTCCCTACCCCCCCCCCTCCCCTCCCCTCCCCTCCCCCCAAGAGGATTCGACAAAGGGTCGCGCGGCGCACCATGCATGATGATTAGTATTCAGACCGGACGCTCTCTCATACAATCCCATTTCCCTCGTCATATCCATGTGTTGCACACGCGTGGTTGCGTGCGTTTCAACCGCAACTGCGTATTATTGGATTAGTGAGTGTAGCTGGCCGCCTTTAGTCCGTAGCGGACAACAATACGATTCCGCCAGCGACAAGTATTCATGTGCACGCGAACGACCAGAGGTCTCTTCGGGTTCTGGCTATATACTATGCCCTTTTACGGCCTTTTTCAGCGTCTGCAATTTGCATTCTTCAGTGAGTTCCGTGAATCACCAAGGAGGAGTCTCATTCATTCCTTTCTGGTACTCGTATCGCGGTATGTTCTCTTCATATAATTTCGCTCATTTTGATCTTTTCTGGTTTTTGTTTTCAGTAATGCGCTATTCATTTGTACCGTAAAATGTGATCCTGCACACCGCGCGCGGCAACCGACGACGCGTTATTAGTAGCTCGTTGATAAAAACTTTTCTAACGAAACAAGCTGTGAGGATGTGCACCGCTACCTAATACATATTCATTCAGATTAAAAAGGGAAAAACGGAAAAATTCTTGGAAAACAACAATTTTTAATTATAGAAGTCGTGAAGTAGCTTGCATAGTGTGCAATACATGCATTAAATCAAAAACGATCCTTAAAAGTTTGACGCCTTAATTAGGACTTTCACTCAAAGAAGTTAACAATCCATATTTTGTAATCGTACCTTACTGGTTCTTCTTTTCATTTGTCCTTTTCACCTGAAATCGATATCGCACTAATCAGGTATCGCATTCCACATCAATTATTTCCGTTTTTCTGTTCGCCACTGTCAATGCCGTTACGCGCTAGCTATCGAGGATTTTCTTCTTTCAAGAAATGTACGCTACTGTTTTACCCCCTTTTTTCTTCTTTTTTCTCGTTTTTCTAATTCATAAATCACATTAATGATTACTCATTCAATTATCTATTGACTAATGATTACTCGTTTAATTATTTATTGACTACTTCTTCATCTTTTTCTGGCTATTCGAGAACAAAAGCTGCAGTCATTTTGCGATTATCTTTTTCCTCAGGTTTTTTTTTTCTTGTGCAGTGTCACAAAACGTTTTTCCTCCATTCTTTCCACCCACGTCTGCTCTTTTTCATAGATGCATGAGTCAGCTAAAATAACATTACCTCAGCGGGTCGACATGTCGCGGACAGGCCCGTTTGCATGTACTGTTTACCTAGCAGATTTATGAATACTTTGGACGAAAAATCGGCATTTTCCTTTGCACCATCGTTTAATATTTCCATCTTTTCCCCAATATTCCTACGTTGCTATTTCTGCTATTTCGAGTTTCGCAACACGGAAGTTTAATCCATTCTTTTCATGGTGATTATATTTTATGCATAACATGCGTTTTTGTAAAAAGAAATTTTGCATTGCATTTTTTGGAAATAATGCATTTGGTGTTTGATTTTGCTGTTGATTCAGCCGTGCACTGTAACAGTCAAAGTGCTTCTCTATCTTATTCAAACGTTAAACGCTATGGTTAACGTCAAGTTAACTACTTCCTCTTTTTATTCAATTTTTTTGCTTAAATGAATCTCGACATTTGGTTTCTCGCTTGGAAACATTAAAATAATAAAAAGTTAAAAGATAGATGAAATCTATTGTGCATAAACACACATTACGTATTATTTGTCTTTTCTTCCATTGTAACTGGCTGGAAAGACCGACGCATCGTTCCCAAATTCATTCAATTCACAATTCAGAATTATAGATCTTTGAATTGCTGCCTTTCTTTGTAACCTCGAAATTTTCTACGAAGATAAAAGGTATTTGTTTTTTTTTCAAATTTTGACTGTTTAATCTTAGCTTTTCTTGTACTCATTTAGTGTATAAAGAAGATGTACGATCGATATAATTCGTATTTCAATCGCGGAGTTTCAAAGCACCCTTTTTTATCCTTCAGCTTGTGTTTTCTCCCCAGAATATGGTTCTGCTGCTTGATCTTGAGCTTACATTTCACCAAATCAGATTATTCTGCAGCAATTGTTAATCTTTCCGCTTTTCTCTCACTCTTTTCTTTCTCGTTTGCAGTCTGCTTTGTCCAGAATTTGTTCATTGATAGATCTGTTTGCCTACCTCTTACATGTGTTTGTTTCATTTCCCGCATTCTGCAGTCCTTCACTGTGTTGGCGACACACGAAGTCATCGAAAGTGCATCCGCGTCTCGTTCAGAATCATCACGGAGTTAAACTTCCGCCCTATATCTACCGTAATTTCAGGCCTTTCCTTCTACATCTCAACGAAAAATCTACATCAAACTCCACTTCATTATGACAATCGAGTGAAGAAATGACAACGATATTCGGATTTTGGACATGGTGGTCGACGTTGATACTGTTATTGCTGCGGTTTACCTACGGTGATGACGATATAGACTTGGACACATTGAATATCACTTCAACAACGGAATCTTCAACAACGACTACTACAACACCGCCGGGACCAGCATCGGCTGATAAGCTAGGTAGTTATTTAGAACCAGGAAATTCTAGTCTTTGTTTTAGAGGGAGGTTTCAATTTGTTTTATATTATATGAATGTTTTTTTGGCAAAAGTTCGGGTCTTTGGATTCTGATCTAGTTTTTTTTCATGGACATATCTCAAAGCAGCCAATGCTCTGTAGAGCTCGTAACCTACATTTTATCACGGTTACAAATCACATTTTTAACTCGATCTTTATTGCGTGCATTTTCCTTTGATCGTGCCTGCTACACTAAAATTTGTGGCAACATCACGGTGTTGCTGAAGATTTACTTTATGACTTTTCTGCAAAGGTATCTTTTTTGGGATCAGATTCTAAAAAAGTGTTTGCAGAGTAGTGTACACTGTGCAACTCAAATAAAAAAATCTTTTTTTTTGCAAAAATAGTTTTTAGTTCATCTAATCTATTTGTAAACTGAATTGCGATTATAAATCTGCATCTACATTGAGCAGATTTCCTGGCAAATATAGGATCCTGCGGTGCCGAGAAAATGTGGTAATGCGCGTGGAAAAATATCTCGTTACTCTGTGATGCTGGTGATAATTGTCTGCATTGCAGGAGTAACCATTTGTTCGAGCGCAAAATTTACCGCAGTTTTTTAGCATTGCAAGATCACTATATCTACAGACAAATCTACTCGAGTGTTCTTTAGGCTTCAAATATGAGCAAGATTGTCTCTAATCTTCTTCCTGGTTCCCAACATAAAATTTGGATATTTGTTTTCCAAAACATAGCTGTAATGCAGAACTTGCAAAAACCTAATTTTCTAGGGGTTCCTCGATGTGAGTCAAACTACGATTGCGTTCATAATGGTCTATGTCGTAAAGATAGCGATGGTTATGGTAGATGTCTTTGTCCGAGGAGCTGTCCGCCGTGTCAGTGTTTTTTCTACCAGAATTCTGATTCCTCGTTTTCATGTTCTTGCCGGTAGATGGTCTTCTCTTTTTTTTCAGACATTCCAATGGATTGTATGAAGCAGGGTGCTTCATCATACTATCGCCTTCGGCAGAGATATCGGCACGAGCTGCCATGCGGGGTGATGGATTCGAGTTACGCAAAAAAGTACGATTTGCCCAGTCCTCAGTGCCATCTGGTTAGTTCAAACGAATCAGTTATGTTTTCAGTTACATTCAGTGGGTCACATCTTTCTTGCCATTCAAATCTCTTTTACACTGCAGCAAAGCTTCTACTCTGTTTGCACATCGATTCTTGCGCATGTTTCTTTTTTCCTTGTTAAAATTTTTTATTGGAGGAAAAACTTAGCAATCAAACTCCTGAAAGTGATGGTATGCAAGTAAATCAAATCTCAGAACACGATCAAAGTAGATTTTCTCTCGGCAAGTGTCTGACGTCAGCGTAAATTCGGCGAAGAATTTCTTTCCAGTAGAGAAAAGCTCACAGATACCTGCACTAATAAGGTCACATCTTTGGAGCAAATTGATCCCTGTTTGGCACATCATTTCATCTCAGATTGTTTGTATCTTTCTGTACACATGTACTCGTAAATATGGATGTTTATTCCCGTTCAGTTTGATAATGATAGACATCGCAGCTCTCTAAGATGAGATGGATAGATAGATAAAATCGTTGCTATTGCGCGAGAAACACTTCCGGTCAGAACGGATGGTTCATTTATCAAATCGGATTGTATCTCATGCGGATACATGCGAAAATTGTTATCAGAATGCGATTTCTCTTGCCTCTCTTTGCCGTGTGTGCTATTCTCAGCGCTTTTCAAGAGAGACATAAAGGACACTTGTTCAGCGTCTCACATTCGCATCCGAGATCGTTAAGTATGAATGTCACAACAAAGTGATAACGTTTGCGCGAGCGATAATCCGTTTCTCTCCGAAATTGTGCTTTCCAGGGTCGTTGCTCATGTCCACCGATGTTTGACAACTGGAAGACAAGTGATTCACCGGTGCTTACGCTGCTGCCTACGAAGTGTGACAGACGTAAGCATAAAGCTCTCTTCTTCTAAAACAGGTTCCTAGTATAGTGGTGGATCTTCTATATGTTTCTGTAGTTTACACGATGCAAAGTAAAGGTCGTATCTGAGGTTGGCTCGATCTTCTTAGTCAAATTATGGAGATCTGAGAATAACAAAATATTCAAGGGTGCTAAATTATGAATCACCCTGTGCACTATTTTGTGCTCCACATAGAAGCCGAATTTGATTTCGTAAATTTGCACTTTGTATGAAGGCTAGCAAATCTTCTATGGTCATGGCTTAGAACTTCCCTCCTCTCTTATTTGCCGAGATTAGGTTTGGCAATTAGAGTTGAGCATATGGCAAGTTATAGTAGTGCAAATGGGAGCAAAACATTCAACAAAATTCCGTTATATGCATGTAAACGACAGGAGTATGTCATTATGCTCAAGCACACTCCGCCTGGTAATTAGTTCCGGCATAGGGTATGTATAGTAGCGAAGCGAATATACTGGATCCACGATGTGATAGTCATAACACTTGAGAGTATTCATTTCTTCGGAAAACGCCACTTGATGAAGTAAAAAAACAAGCTATTTTTTTGAGATTTACGGCATTTATCGGGTAACCGTAAATTTTTTCATAAACCAACCGCTAATCTCAGTTTCATGGTCTCTCAGTCTGTCGATTCACTACTCGTACAAATTTTAGAGGTCAACTTTTGCTATATATCTTCTCTGCGGTGGACATCCATAGAATAGCGGTGCATAATAAAGTTTGCATGTGCCAGCGACCTTTCTTAGCGACGGGTTATGATTATGCCATACCTAACCCACTTACTTATTCTGAGACCATGTGGTCTATGAATTTGGTGCAATTTCAAGTTGACAGCCTACTTTCTATCCCTTTTTTACCAAAAGGGATAGAAAGTAGTCAAATAACTTTCTGTTACGTATGGTGTCCTTATGCAGTCTTATAAGGTTGAAAAAAAAAACTTTTGCAATAGTCACATGGGAACAGGATGTTTTTGGAACACGTGGCTTTTAATTTAATTACAGTGCCAATTTCTTCCTGTCGAATTTCAGCAAAAATCTTGGGAAATTTTTTTCCGTGGGGAAAGTGTCCCTTTGTTTATTCATTAGCTTCAAGCAGTGATTCTTTCTTAGTAAAGAAGAAACAATTCGACCCTATGTTTTCAGGAGAACTGGCCGTCCTCGGTATAGCATACCCGTCGGACGCAGTATACAAAGGCACAGATGTGGTGCTCTACTGTTGTGTGAATATGGATCCGCAAGGGTTGATCGATGTAGCAGGGGTTGGTTGTTAAATTTGCTTTGTTATTAAATTGCCGTCAATCACAGTTTCATTGATTTGACTGCTGGGAATCAATAGGAATGTTTTTTACAAATAGTGTGAATTTAGGTGTTATTCGTGCAGAACACTACAGTAGTACGTGAGCCGACCAACCATCCGTTTCATTATGTGAGTTATGAATTTGACCGTACAGAGTTTTTACCTCTTAGTTCTCTCTCAATGCTTTGTTTTGTTGCATTTTTGTATCTTATATCCTTGACAAGTCAGTCATGCATTCCATGCTTCTTGAACAGTTTATACACCATCTATTGAAAAATATCTTCCAGATGACTGAGTTTGAAAAGATGAACACTCCGTACTGCTGGGAACTTGAAATCCGCAATGTGCAGCTATCTGATAGCGGCTCGTACATGTGTCATGTGAACGCAAATCAGCAGCCATCTGTCAATTATACTATAGAGTTCCAAGTCAAAGGTAATTTTAGAAATTCATTCATTAGTTATACCTTAATTGTTTTTCTTCTTCGAATTTTTCTCGTGTTTTGAAGAATTTCCTTTCTTTTGCAATTTTCTCATGAGGTTTTCCTACTTTTTTTTTCTCTTTTTTAAACTCTATTGCTCACATGTGTGAAAAAACAAATCTTCGTTATCCACATCCACATCTTGTAGAGCGAGAAAGGCGTCATCATCCTTTCTCTAAAAGATCGAAAAAAGTCATGAGACCATCACATGGTAAGTTTGAAATCAGGCTGTGTTCGCGTTCGTAGCGTGTGCGATTCGATTTTCTCCTTGCATGAGAGTTTTCTTTTTATCGTGCTCTTTTTTTTTGCTTTCACGAGTGGTTTGGTTGATGTGAAGTGGCGCCAGTAAAGGATATTTTATGTTGCATGCTGAAAGTCTGCTTTAAACAATACTGCTGTCAATTTGGAGAGTTTGGGTTGATTTTGTAATCTTCATCTTTTATCCGGTGGTAAAACATCTCTATGGGTTCACTGGATTTCTGCTTGTTGTGGCTTTTTTCCATAGATTTTTTTTACTAGCTGTGGTGCTTCTACGCAAACTGAGTTTATTTTTTGCAGCTCCGAGAACTATTCAAAACCTAACGATTGTTACAAATGATAATTCCGCTAACGTTAGCTGGGATGTACAGCAGGGACCACAACTGAAGATAGGACTGAGGTGTGTATCGAATTCCTTTCTTGACTTTGTTTGCTTATCGTTATGCTCTAGGCTTGTACGGAGAACAGGACTGAATGGGCAAGAGGTCTTCTCACAAGTGAATGCCATCTCACCTGTAATCATCACCAATCTCCGCGCTGCGACACCTTATAAATTGTTTGTGACTGTGAATGACAGCCAGACAGATCCGTTCGAGATCACAGAGCTATTCAATACGGCTGAAAGCAGTGAGTGTTTTCAATTTATCTTTTCTATCCAAAATTTTTCCCTTGTCTCTATCTCCCAAAGGATTTGGGTCCGATATTCTTTGATTTTTTGGCAGTTTTTCTGAAGATTGAATCATGTTAAAATAGAGCGACACTATCTATAGGTCCCATTATGGGTGTCAAAGCTTCAGCGGCTGGTGTCGTTGCGACCACCTCGCTCATGTCTTCCTAGCGTTCGCGGAGGTATCCTGGGGCATTTTCACACGCGGCAGAGATTGATTGCATGGGAAACTGTTCGAGGTTTACGTTTGCAAACGCGCCGAGCAAAGGGCCTCGCGCCCGGAGCCGCAGGAGTTTTGTCACTCACGCTAGGACAGCCTGTAGATTGTTGCTCGAAACTTTTACAGTCTGTCTGCAAACTATTATTCAATGCTTTTTCAGAGCCCCATCCGCCTAAATATGAAGATGTGCGAGTTTTGAACTCTGGATCATCGCTTATGTGCGAAGTGGAGTGGAGAGCACCCGCTTTGACCAATGGGAGAATCAGTCGTTACTATGTAAGTAAACTTTTTTGCCTTCAGAATATTGTAGGAAGTAACGTTTTGTTACAGGTAAGAGTACAAGGAGCCGTTCGTCGAATGAGACCAGGAGGTCCTATAGTTGCAGATGATTTTCCCCCACCAACTGATGAGGAAAAATGTGCTAACTGGGATGAGAGGGAAGCGGCCTCACATGGCATTAACCCTATAGAGTTCACAACGGAGTTCTTGTCGTGCAAGTATGGTCCTCTGAAGGTAATAATTATAGCATGCGTCATCATAATTTTTATTGTATGTGAACTTTTAGCCCAATCGAAATTACACAATCACCGTATGGGCGGAAAATTCAGCTGGTCGTTCATCTCCGTTAGTGTTCCCTAAACATTGCATAACAAATTATGCTCAGCCCGATGTAGTAAGTCGAACTCTTCTTCGTTATCTCGCTGTTCCCAAACTTCTGTTTATAGGTCGAAAAACCAATAACGTCAACAAACTCCAATCATACGTCATTCAACTTAGCTTTCAACTCCAAACCAGATGACACAAATGGTCCCATTAGGTAGTTTGTTCACTTCCTTCTTTGTGATTTCTTCGTAATCATATGTAATTTAGTTGCTATTACATTGGCATCGTGCCATTGTTGAGGAATGTTTCGTTAGAGACACTTCCACCTCCACAAGAAATAGTTATGGATACGGTATCAAAGGTGAGTTGCCTTTTTTCACTTAACTTCGAATTTTATCAGTATGCGCGCATTTTATTTTCTCGTTCTGTGTTTGCTTATCTCGTCTTTTTGCACCATCATCGCCACTTATATCTATCAGGCATTCAACAATAATCTCCTTCCACTTGCTGCCGAGAAGAAACGATTTTTCGCCTACATCGCGGAAAGCTATACCGACTACCCTGCAGACACGGTCATCGGTGATGGGAAAGGAGTGGCTGGCATGAAACCGTGCAGTGTTCTGTAAGTTCACGTAAATTTTTTGCTGGTTCAATAGATTAACGTCTACAGTTGACCACTTCTGCAGGTACCTCAGCAGATACAAAGCAGAAGATGTCATTCTTCGACCTGGACTGAAGTACACTGGTTTTCTCATTGTAAGAGTGGACAAAGATGATAAAGAAGAAGTTCAGAGTGGAGCTCATTATAGTCGAATGTAAGACATAATTCTTTTTTGTTCGTCCATTGCATTCACATTTTCCTCTCATTAAGACTGGATCCCTTGAGGCCGAGATCTTATCGGCAACTTCATCTCAGTGGACCTGCATACGGCTTTAGTGGATACTTCAAACCGGTGTTTTTGGAGCCGGAGGATGGTAAGACTATTAAGATTATTTCATGTGCCAGTTTTCTTCTTTTTGTTTATATATGGAAACTTGAAACTTATGTTTTTTCGCGGAATATATATTATTTCGCTTTCGCGAAACAAGTCATCTCCTAATCGGTTTATGTCAGTTTCAGAAGGAAGCGTACTTGGCACGTTTTTCACTGTTTTGGTTCCACTTCTGGTCTTCCTAACCATGGCATCCGTATTGGCTCTGTTTGTGCTGCACAAGTTAGTCATATTTTGGCTTTGCTATTGCTGTTTTTTCTTCCATCATTCTTTGTGTTTGAAATTGTTAGTGATTGGAAACGCATGATCTGTTTTTTTAATCAGAAAATGCATCACTTCGAATGGGGCAAATCAAAGAGTTGCAGGGGGGGGGGGTAGCTAAGCTTATGAAACATAATGTATATAAATCTGCAACAAAAAGCACGACTAATCTTACCCTATTTTCAACAGACGTGGAGAAGTGTCTCAGTGGTGTCATTGGCTGTGGATGTCCAAGGAATCGTCAGTGGGAGCTGAGCGAACTCTTCTTAGACCATCAGCTTACCATGCCATCCCAGTAGATGACTTACCGTCCGAGTATCTCATGAGACATCGCGACTCAGATTTCCTGTTTGCCCAGGAGTACGAGGTTGGTTTCGATAAATTATGGTAGACGAGGTTCCTTTATGGTAGACGAGGTTCCTTTGAACTTTTTTATCAAATCGATTTAGGCGCTTCCCCATTACAAACTCGATGCGACTGCTAGCGCTAAGAAGGAAAATGCATGCAAGAACAGGTGAGAAATGTGGTTTAAAGGCTTGAGATTCAAAAAAAGTGTTTATATCAAAATTTCTACGCACTTTCCCTTGAATTTTTGGATGAAGAAGTTTCCAGATATAACGACATCCGAGCCTTTGATGCGACTCGTGTGAAATTACGGATAATCAACGAGGATGAGAACTCCGACTATATCAATGCGAACTTTGTCAAGGTAGCACTCTTTGATTTTGCAGCATTCTTTTCGTTTTATATCCAATTTTCAATTCAGTTATGCAGTTTGTAACTCTCCAAAACCATTCCTTCGTTGATTTTGCTGAATTATGTAAAGAAAGGCTGTCAGCAAGACCTGTTTCAGGGTTGGGATGACCGGAAAACATTCATAGCAGCGCAGGCCCCACTCGATACGACAATTTCTGATTTTTGGCGAATGATATGGGAGCAAGACGCACGTTTGATAGTAATGGTAGCGAACTTATTTGAGAAAAATCGTCAACAATGCACAAAGTACTGGCCGGATGATCAGCCAACAAGGTTTGATTTAATGTAATTTATTCCAATTTTTAAACCACGTTATTTTCAATCAAGTTAAGCAAAGTGACCTATATACTTTTGCTTTCGCTTCAGGTATGGTGATCTACTGGTAAGCCCTCGAGAAGCTTCCTACTTCGCTGACTACGCCGTTAGATGTTTCGATATCGAGACTGTCAATGAGAAATTTAGCAGGATGTCTCCTGGTGCTAGGTGAATACGCCCATTCCATCGTTATTCCCTTCATGAGCTCATCTCATCTCAGGTCCGACATCGGCTCGATCGAATCAACTCCCGGCTCGGAATATGCGAATGTTCCATCAGTACGTCATTCAAATGGCCATGCTGAAACTTCATTTGTAGGTACGGGTAACGGTACGTTTTGATAGAGATTTGCCTGAGTGGATCCTCGTTTTCCTCGATTCGGTAGATTGATGTGTTGCTTTTTTAGTACGTCGGGTTGTGCAGTATCATTTCACAAACTGGAATGACTACAAAGCTCCTGAATGCTCCACAGGATTATTGCGGTTTTTGAATCGCTTACGAGAACTGCCAGAATTCAACGATTATCCTGTTGTGATACATTGCAGGTAAAAGGTTTTTCCGTTGTTTTTTTTTTCGTTTGCGTGTGCTGACCGTGAGATTCAAGTTCCGCGAAGCAGTAACAATGTACAATTTGCTATTTAGCGCTGGCGTGGGTCGAACAGGAACATTCATTGCCATCGATAGCATGTTGGATCAATGTGCTGCCCAATCTAAAGCTGACATCTTCAACTTTGTCGCAGGTCTTCGAAAACAACGGAACCTTATGGTGCAATCTCAGGTAAATAGCCTTCTTCTCATCTCATTAAATATTTTAGCGTTTCTACTTCTTTATAGGAACAGTATGTGTTCATTTACAAAGCTTTGGCTGAATGGCATTTGTTCGGCTACACGGATATGGATGTTGAACAGCTGAAAGAACATTATCAAGAGTTGCTGGAACCAGCAAATAGGTAAGCAGTGAATTGGCGCATTTTTGGGGCTGAAAACAGCTTTAAGGGACCGATCATCGTCATTCAGTAATGCAGTCAAACTTGTCGCACGGCCCGACGCTGCACCTACGATAGGCATGGAGGTGGAGTTCCGGGTAAGTGCACCTGTTTGTTTGTGCAGGCTGTTTTTGTTTTCGCCATGTTAAGCTGTTGTTTCCAGAGCATCTTTGTATTTTTTTTTAAATCTGCATATTTTGGTTTTGAATTCTCATTTTGGACCAATTTCAGAGACTCGAACGGACTCTGGAAACCCCCGCCAAGTGCTCGTTTGCAGCTAAAGAAGACAATGTGATGAAAAATCGGTTTGATTCGGCAGTACCATATGATCGTAATCGTATCGTACTACGAGCATCGATCGGTTACGCCGATACTACTTACATCAATGCCAGCTCTCTTAAGGTGAGTGGCTTTAGCTCTTTTATATTTTTAGATGTTGTTTTGTTTACAGGGCTATTTTTATCCGTATGTTTTGGCACAAGATCCTGTTAGTGAGAACACAGTGTTCGACTTTTGGCGTATGATCTCGGAATTGAATGTTACAACATTAGTAATGCTTTCTAACGAGGAAGATTGGAGCCCTTCCGAAAAGGTTGCTTTTGATGATTCAGTTATTTTGATATTGTTGAATGGCTATTATACAGTACTGGCCAAGTGAGCTTCACGAAACGGCTGTCTATCAGCGTGCTCCGTACCACGTGACTGTACAGCTCAATGGAGAGGAACATTTCCCATACTTTATCACTAGGAAACTGAGCTATCGCTTGAAGGTAGTTGAATTTGCGATGAGTTTTTCTCACACAACAAAACACCGCTTCTTCAGGAGGATAGCGTTGCTCGTAGTGTAGTTCAATTCGCATTCACAGCATGGCCATCATCTTGTGTAGTGCCAACATCATCAGAGCCACTACTTTCGCTCGTTGGTCGAGTTCTCGAAAGACAAAGTGGTTTGCCTGATTCAGGACCGATCGTGTTACACTGCAGGTTTGTTAGAACCTGAAAAGCAACGTCCAACCCAATCTGAGTTGGTGAGATCTCGATGCAGTAAAATAGCGAGGCCCCAGTTCGGTAGCTGCTCATGTCCCGTTTTAAAAGAATAATTACGAAGCGAGAAAATTGCTCCAGAATATGGATGCTACTGTGGTCGCCCCGCCCACCAACGTGGTTGGCCACTCACTGGTAATGAGCCCAAACTAATTAGGTAGTATCTAGCAATGCCGAAAATTTGCCTTTATGTGAAAAACTGTTTACCGGCATTCCTAGTAATTTGGAGTTTAATTTCATGCTCATTACCATAGATCATGCCACTTGATGGGCGTGGCGACCCTTGCAGCATCCAGCTTCTGGGCCAATTTTTCGCTCCGGGATGCAAGTTTTGCAGCGGGACTTGGGCAATAAGATGCTGAGCTCACTATTGTACTGCAATAAAATCTCGTCAATCTCGGATCTGGGTGGGCAGTGCTTTCGACATATTATTTTGCGTGAATCTTTCTCGCTTAACCACATTGAAATGATTTATCTATTTAGGGATGGTTCCTCCGAAACGGGTGTCTATTGTTGTATTTCATTATTGTTAGAACGGTTGAAAGCAGAACAACGAATAGATGTATTCCAAACCGTCAAAGGCCTCCAGAATCAGCGGCCATTGATATTCTCAAAATTGGTACATATTCTTTTGCATTTGGTTTCCGCTTTTTTTTTCATAGCATTTTTTGTATTCAGGAACACTATGCGTTCTGCTACCAAGCCGTTATCGATTACATCAGGTCATCTCGATAGCGTTTTGATGATTATCAGGTCGTTGTTAGAGAATTCTTCTTCCTAAAAATTCGTATCACTGGATCAGATCGTGTAGTTTGGCAATATATGACCATTTCTTATCTTCTTCTCTCTAATCCGCGCAAATCTCTAGTCATCACATATTTGGAATTTATATGCGCTCATTCCACTTTCATTATCGTTTTCGTCATTTCTCATTTAGCGCTCTCTTGCCATGTTCATTACACTGACTGCAGTCTTTTGTTCGAAATTCGGGTGATATCATTTAATTATTTGTTTACTGAATGATGAATTGTTTTCTGTGTTCGCTCATTTATGCGCTGTGATGTACTTTATGTTCAATGATGATGTATTCTTTCTAAGCGAATCTTTTCCTGTCTCATCTTGATATAACAGTACTGATGTAGGAACGAACGTTCATTCTGTCAAAATAATAGACTAGTCAGAAATTGGTCGCTAAACACGCATAATTATATTTTGACGATATTCTATTAGCCTTGCATAACCCCTTAACTGCGATGCTGCTTACTGATTCGTATGCGATGAATGCGCAGAGCTCTCTATACATATTTGCAAGTTCTACATTTAGTTAGCTAGCGATAAGCAACTCTCAGCGCTGTTCGTACGCCTGCCAAGGTTGTTTTTCTTTATGCTTGTGACCCGAAAAAAACCGGGTCCTATGCTATTTGTTGCATTATTTCTCGCACTGCGCATCCATATTTCACAGCCTCATCATTATGTTATTGGCGTTTGTTTAGTAGGCATTAGTATCGAACCTCCCAGAAACGTGTATTTTTTTTCTATTTCTCTTTCGCCGTATGTGGTGTACATATTGTGTCAAATAAATAAGCTTAGAGCTATTGTTTGAAGAGCAATGTTCATGTCGGAACCTTAGCCCACAATCTGAAGATGTTCTAACAAAGGGCAGCACGTTGCTCAAGATTACTGTAAGCGCGAAGGCGGCCAGTTTGACTCTTGGGCTGCAGGCATGAAAGTCTGTGCCGGACAAGAGCTGAGGCTTTTTCAGTTCTGCGTTTTACGGATTTAAGCTTCATTGTGCACTTTCAGCACGAAAGAAGTGCACATGGAAGCTGATGGCTGTTTGTACACACTTTTTGCAGTTGACGGCGTCACGGCGCTCTTATCGTAAAAGCCAAGGGGGAACCATGAATGATCAAATATTTTTTGGGAATGTTGGAATAATTGAACGAAAAGATTATTACGGGATCACTTGCTAAGTCAATGTCTCAATGTAAGTAGACTACAAAAAGTTCAGGATATTGTAGGGAACGCAGGATTGCTTCCTAATAAAGTCAGAGTACAGGAGCAATTACTTCAAAGACGTGCTGCACAAATTCTCTTGAGTTTCTGTACTACATTCCAACCACCATTTATACACGGAAATTCCTTGCTACTTCCCAGGGAATTACGAATCCACTGGCAGTGAAAAACTGAAATATACAGATGGCTGAGGTTAACTGAGTATATCACAAACTATTTGTGCAGTCCATCATAATTGCAAGCATCCCACAGTGGTCGGGATGTTGAAATATAGGCTAAGTCTCAATAACTTTTTCTTTTCCAAGTATGGACTATTCCCAAACGAAGGCGAATGTCTGGGCGTACGCAAGGTAGTAGCTCGCTTACTGAAAGGTGCTCAACGTTTGCGATTGAAGGTATGGCAGACACTCAGAAGTAGGACTCAAATTTCGTGCTCTGATGATTCAACCATTGACGACGTGTTCGGTAACATTACCATCAGAAAACAATGTTCGGAAGTAGCTTGACCAGAAATTCTTCTCTGTATTCGTTTTGAAGATAGACCACTCTTTGAACAATTACGTGTGCAACAGTCGAAATATTAACATTAATGCTTTATTGCACAAATGATCGTGGAACAGCTCAGTATTAAATGTTAATCACTAATCGAATACTATGGGTTATTCCTAGGTAAACATCTACCCTACACAACAACAAATCACGTCATAGAATTCGTTATTATTCAAGCTTTTTGACATAGATGTAGTTGAAGTTATGTTCATCAACAAAAAAACGTCACTGCTCACTTCCTTTGTTGTGTAACGTAAACACTGGCCACTGGAAGTCCTTTTGCACCGGCGAAAGCAGGTGGCACTCCAGCAGGTGGTGGAGCGGTAGGGCTTGGGAGTCCGGGAATGACAGGAGTTTGGCCGGGTGCTGCGAAGTACGAGAGTCCTGTTCCAGGTAGAGCTAATGGAGCACCGGGTTTGGGAGCAGCTAGAGGTGGCACAAGTGAGGGACGGGCAGGAATAATAGGCTTGGCTGGAGTAGGAGACAATGCTTTTGGAGGTGGTGGAGGTGTAGCGATAGGCACTTTGGTAGCAACTGGCACTGGCTTTGGAGAAGCGGCAGCCACTTTGGGTGCGGATATTGCTGTTGGTTTTGGCGTCGGAATTGGAGGGGGAAGAGCTGGTTTGGGAGGAGGAGGAGGAAGTTTTGTTGGCGCTGCTGCTACGGGTACAACTGGTCTAGGTGAAAGAGGTACTGGTACAGGCGGTATTCGAGATGCAGGCTTCGATGCTGGTGGCGGTGGAGGTGGTGGAGGTTTTGGAGCTGCTGCAGGCGCAGGCGGTGGTGGCTTCGCTCCAGCTGTCGGTGCCATCGGTGGTAAGCCAGCAACAACCCTCAGAGGTACTGTTGTCGATACGTACGCCCAAGGCGAGGCCAATTTGAATGCCGCTTCTGCCCCGACTGAAAGTGCTTCCGTCGTCTCCACGAATTGAATCACCATTCTGTCTTCCTTTGGTGGTCCTGGTAGGCGTGTGATGTTTATCGGAACCGTACCATTTGCTTCAACGAAGCCGTAGACAGGATTGATGCCGTAATCGTTGTTGTTCGAACATTTGATTTTGAACACCATTCTGGTTCCGCGAGGGTTTTTGAGAGTATGATATAGGCGACCGCCAGTTGTTGGAAATGTAGACACCGGAGGATCCACAGTAAGCGTTGTCCTGAAGAAGACGCTACAGCATATTCTATACAGTTCTTAAGGATATGGACTCACTTTGAAGCATCTCCAGTTGGTGGAACATCGCGCGTTGCTTCCGGCTTTACTGTTTTCAGACCCTCGTCTTCCATCCCTGGTTCAGGTGGTGCTTTTGCTTCTACCAGTTTCTCTCCTCCTGGTGCCAGCTCTGGTTCCACCACTATATTCACGTCTTCATAGGCACCGTCACTTCCTGGCGCTGTTTCCTCTGAAATTAAACAATGTTGGAATTTGAATAGGTTTATCATATCATATTAGGCCTAAGGCATACTCTACGCGATTTCCGTCGCTGGGCGATTTGGCACAGAAGCGACTGTTCGTAATTGCTCGTTGCCGGCCTTTGTTTGAACAAGACTTAATCCTTTTGCAAGAACTAACAAAAGCTACAAGCCAATGCATTTAAAAACCGCCTACGACGAATCTATAAAAATTTGGCAAAACGCCAAGTCGAGTGGACGTCGCGATTTGGTCAAATCGCGTGAGGTATGCCTTAGGCCTTAGGCAGCGTCCAGAGTCGCTTGCGCACAGATGTGTCAGCGCCGTTCCAGTGCGGTATTGGCGCCGGTTGCCCACAGGTGTGTCAGCGCCGTTCCAGTGCGGTATTGGCGCCGGCACCTACATGGATGCTCGTCGTATTGATCGATCGATGTGCAGGCATGGCGCTGGCACGACCAACTTTGACCGCAGCCTGATAGAAACTTGTTCTAAGTGTTGCCACTCACTTAGCGTGCTCATTTGTGATAATGAAAGCGGCCTCGCTTTTGATACATCATCACTGATTGCACTTTGGAGCTGTAGAGTCCTTGCTGCTGACTGTAAAGGCATCGGAGCTATAGATTTCATTGGAGGCAGTGATTTCAGCGATTCCGCTCTTTGGAACTGTGATAGTGTTTGCGGTAGTGGTAGTGGTACTGGAACAGGAGCAGGAGCAGGAGCAGGAGCAGGAACAGGTGCTTTCCCAGGTGCGCGGACTCCTTTCCTCACAGATTCCCCTAAAAAATTCGTGCTTAGGTAACTTCAAATAGGACTCTTCTAGAATACCTGTTCTTCTCTTAGAGCTGGGTGTTTGAGCCTTGCCCTCCTTGGATTTGCCTTCTTTGGAAGCTTTCTTGTGCTTCTTCTCAGGAGGTTTAACAATGATAGATGATGAAGAAGTTGAGCTTTCCGACTCCGCAGCGCTGCTCTTCTTAGTTGCATGAGTGTCACCCTTCTTCCTTCCACAAAGAATTGCCAAGCCCATACTTATGGACAGAGTGTAAGAGACGACAAGTGCAGCATATTGCTGGAATTGTTCAGTTGATGGTAATGTCCATCGTGGCGATGTGGCAAACGCACAGTGAAAACCAAGTCAGTCGGCCATCCAAGTGCACACATGATCTATAGAATGAAGTTGACTCGGCTTTCTTCATCTCCTTTGTTTTCAGCATTTTAGATGTTGATAGTGATAGTAATCGAGTAGGTTCAGGGTAATAATTGCCTTTATCATTTGCAGCACGGTTTCAACCACAGATGTGGCTACTTCACAAGGCTTATGGAGAACAGAGAATGTAGTGAATATGGAAGACAACCATTGCTTCCTGAATTCTCAAATCTGCCCTCCCCCCCCCCCTCCCTGGTTTGCTACCTGAACTTGGCGCGAAACAGACGCTGGGTGTCAAAGCGATTTATAGCTGGGTCTGTACTTTAGCAGGATTTCCACGCTTTAAAGAAGTCCGAAGTTTCTAGCCTTCTACTTCGCTTTTGTCTAGCTAGGGGTAGACCAAGCGATACTCGCGTTTAGCTAAAAAAAACTACGGTTCCCCGTTCTCCAGAATTGGCGACCACATTTTGAGGAGTACAAGAGAACACGGTCTAGTTAACATGCTCTTTGCTAGGATAGGATCTACTCTATTAGCAAAAAATAAAAGCCTGCACATGAAATTCCAAGGTGGTATTCCATTGCAGAGGGCGCTGGGTGGAAACCAATGTTGGGCTCTGTCCTTATATGGCTTGTTCGCTGTAGACTTCGAAATTTCCACCTGTCATGACATAGTCCTCTTATGTTGTGACAACCGTGAGGCGTTTACTAAGGCCCCTGACAGACTTCACGCGATTTGATCGTCGCGACTGAATCGCGACGAGACACTGTTACAACATAATTCCATGCCGATCAACTTGCATTTCGGTTGTGATACTTTTCCAGCCTGAAATTTATGAATTTGAAATGAAAATGAATGAAAATGTCGGCGATTGAGTAGCGACGATCAAATCGCGTGAAGTCTGTCCGGGGCCTAAGGGCCAAAATTGGCAACAGTTTCCATTGCTGTCACGACCGGATGTTACTCGATGCCTTATACATTTGACTTAACACTGCTGTTTTCACCCTTCGATGTGCACAAGTTTGTTAAATTTACGATCTATTCGATTTTGTATTCTCCATTCGGAAGTGAATTTTTACGTTGAGATACGCTAACCATTTTTCGTTGGGCTTAGGCCTCTCATGCGTAAATTTGATGATGCAGCATTGTTATTTGAGAACTTCAAAACAAGATCCAGTTCTGCTTACGTAGGACATTGTGCAACAATCATCCATACCTACAATACAGCAGTGGGTTTCGTTTTGGTATCGGTGCCCCGATTTTGGATGATGTAATGACAATAGTTGGCGCCAATCGCTGCCCCATTGCTTAACCTCGGGTGTAGGCCCTTCTGAACCCGCTCCAATCGTGACGACAGTGATAGGTCACCTAGCTGCAAAGGTCGAGCTGTGATTGGGCGCTCCGCGTAAGCGAGCGGTGACCTGTCAGGACGCGTCGCAGTTTCGGACGAGTTTCGTCGCTGGCGTACTGCGTGCACCTACAACTTATGCACTTCGAAATACGCCACAAGAGGGCAGGGGCATCTAGAACCAAGTAAACATCAATGAGATGCCAAGAGTCATGAATAGTAACCGAAAACTTGTCAGCTAGCGTTGACGTTAGTCTGATCATTCATTGTTGCTTGAAAATTGAGCAATCATTGACAAAATAATTAGTTTGTTTTATTTCGCGCACGTCCTGCTTACTTTCCTCTTCTACAATTCGGCGTCTAGTCATAGAATCCAAGAACACAAGCTTGGAGATCTTGCGTATTTAATGTAGTGATTTTTTACAACTTCAACTGGCAAGCTAAAGAACTCAAACAAGGTTACAATTTTCACAACCTGCATCTGTGCTTACTCAGTCACAAATTCCGGATCACGAAAAGACCTGCAGCATTTCAGTCTTACCTCACGAAAACAACACAGTCAGAAACGTCACAAAAAAACTAGATCGTCTAGCTCTTTAAACAGGGTTCATGCCTCCAGTAATTCATGACAACCTGCATAAAGGCCTAGATCTTCATGCAATAAGATATTCAAAGCAGACAATTCGAAAACTGTCTTTACGAGCATCAGCCGAGTACTTTAGCAACAAGAACACTGCAACCCGATCGACAGTCAGCAACAAAATTTCGTGCAAATGAAATTCTGTTTCGAGCCCAGGTTCGATTATCAAAGAAATATAGATGTTTCAGAACAAAATGATGGAAAAGTAGAAATGAAAGATGACGAGTTTACTATTCTTCCCAAAACAAGCATGTTCAGAAAACAACATTCCTAAAGGATGCAAAAAGAGATTCTTTGCACACACAGATAATGAATGGAGTAAGCTTTTGTTTGGTCATTAAAACAATCGGAAGTCTTACTTTTTCAAATCTAAGCAGTTTTCGAATAAAAAAAGACAAGAACAAGGTATAACGAATCGGTTACAGTGCTCCACTGCTGTCTGATAACATGCAACTTACCAATTCAAGAATATCTAGAAATGAAGTAGTTAACGACCAGTGGGCGCTAGACTGCGCATCAGAATACCAGATGCGGGAGTACAGCGACATCAGTAAGACTAGTTCGTTGATTCCAGTTGTGCGCCGCTAATGCAAACTGAGCGACTTTCGAAATTAGGGAACGACTCGTCCGCGTTAAACGCAGCGCGAGCGTACGCGTCTCAGGATTTGAATTACTGTAGCGTACTGTGGGTTCAGAAGGGCCGCCTCCCCTTAACCTCTCTTGTTTAAAGCATTGCCCTGCCCATCTAAACACATCGAAGGATGAAAACAGCAGTGTTAAGTCAACAAGTTTGAAACGCTAGTATGTACCAGATTTTCGACCTAGTCATAACTGCATAGCGATAAAAGTCATGGAAAAGATATCGTCCTTTCCCCACTCTATAGCGGGCGGAGCTTTGCCGACGTTTGCCAACGTATGCGCGTGGCAGTTTTTGGCAGCTAGGGAATAAAAAAAGTAATGCTTTAGAATGGAGGTCCAACAAGTTTCTCAACGTGTTCAAATGTCTGCAGAGCCACGCCTGATATACGCATGGGAATCGCCTATAATAAGGTGTAAACTATTGTTATGGTTGGAGAAATTTCATCTTATATTACCCGAGCATCATGGATTCATACCAGGCAGATCTACCACTTATCGAAACTATTTATCATTGAAGACTAGCACTAAATCCGGAAAAATCTGTCGGCATAAATTATTTTGACCTTTCCAAGGCTTTTAATGAAAATGCGCATAATATTCTCCCTTCCGGCTTGAAAATATTGGGATACCAGGAAATCTTTTAAACTGGTCTGAATCTTACCTCAGTGACAGAAGTATGTCTGGGAAAGTTGAATAAGCTTTTTCTAATAGATTCTGTTGCTCAAGTGGATTTCTCCAAGAAGCTATTTTATCCCTCTTACTATTTTTGGTTTCCACTTTAGAATCACCTAATATGTTGAAGACAAAAGATCTAAATCTCCAGATCTACGCCGATGATTTAAAACTTTATGCAGCAATGATGAGCATGATTAGTGTCAAGGAAGCGTATTCCACACTATTCACGATTTTCCGAAACATACTCCTAATAAGATAATCTTGACAAAATTGTATCGATCATGTACAGGGCTCCTAAATTACAGAGTCGTTTGCACCAGCGGTCGCGCGACCGCGTCGCGCCCGGGTATCAATGGCGCCGCCTCGATCGATGGCGCCGGCGCCGGCAAAATGCTTGAGCGCGACGCGGTCGCGCGACCGCTGGTGCAAACGACTCTGCAATTTAGGAGCCCTGTATGTTATGTTATGTTTATGTTATGTCCATCTGCTTTTTTGCTTCTGAGTACTTTAGAAGTAAAATGAGAGCTAGTAAATTCTGGATTTTTATGCCTTCAATTGATAGATGAGGAGGATTCAATCTCCACTATAAACCTATCCATCGATCCGCTCTTTCCAACTATATATTCTACCGTAGTGCTAGGTTTCAAGGATTGCCTACTGAAATTATTTCCGTTAGCAATAGTGAAGCCTTCAAGAATGAACTGTTGATAGCAGACTTACCTCAACTACTGAATTATGATCATACCTAATTCTTTTGATAAACGCTATATTTTTCGTCTTCACATACATAGGAATGGAATGAAAGTACGAAAAATAATTCTATTCTGGGAGAGATCATCCGCTAGAACTATAATTACTCTTTGTTTCCATTATCTCTAATCGCTCTGCAGATTTCTTTCCAGATGCTCGTTGTCAGTATCAGCTGTTGACCTACCTTTATGCTGTACATATGGGTATATAGCATCAACTCAGCGCAACATATACCCTTCTTCTTCATTTGAAATTTCACCCTTCGGAATGAGAGTCTTTCTTGATCAGACGCTATTTTTCGCTATATTTTCTCAAAAAAAGAAAAATATTTTTCTCCCCCCCCCTATTTTTTAATAAGCCTAATCACATAGGCTCACTCACATTATCAAATAACTGGTTTAGGTTTTTTTTTCAAGTAACTGGTTTTTATTTTTTCTTCAAGACATTTTTGCACAAGGTCGGCTAAGGTTGGCTTGAAATGCTTCGCCCGGATTTCTTCCTTCTCAAGTTGCAACATGTTAGAGTTTGTCCCTCTCCTCCAGCAAGTCGGATGAGCGAGGCGGCCATTATATCCGCTTTCCAAGCTTCTCTTGCTCCTATTGAATTGTTAAGGCGTTTTGCTGGCAAACGAGGGGAGCTTACACGGGAACCGTGTCGAGTCGAAGTGGCCTTTCCAGATGAGATCCATACTGCTTTGAAGGGTATTGAAGGCACCGTCCACCCAGATCTTCGACTTCCATGTTTTTGTCGTTTCAGGGCCTTCTCATGTCCCTGATTCCGAATATGAAGTCAAGAATGCGCGAAAACGCCGACAATCCCCGTTACGGAGAACCCACAGGCCGGCTTTTCGGAACGGTGATTGGATGGGCGCGCACAAATGGGCGGGCATGGATGGGGGTCCTCGTGCATCTTCGCTATTCCAAAGCGATTTTCTCTCTTTCGAAGCGGTATTTATCGTCGCGAC